TGGCTGTGCAAGGCGGCCAGGTGCATCCCACCAGCCAGAAAAGTCCTCAGCACTAATCGGTTAGCCTTTTATGTTTCATTCTAGTCTATTTTTTAGTTGAGTATATGATACTTGTATCTTAATATTATTAAAATATTTTCAAGACGGTTCTAGAAGTGACATCACCATGGCCGCCCAAAGTTCAGTTCAAACTTGTATTGGTTGGTGACGGTGGGACTGGGACAGTGACCTGGGTGAAACATCACCTGACGGGTGAATTTGAGAAGAAGTACGTAGCCACCCTGGGTATGGAGGTGCACTCCCTCGTGTGCCACACCGACAAAGGGAACACGGCCGGCCCGGAGAAGCTCAGGGGACTGCGAGACGGCTGTGACATCCAAGTAACTTGGAGAGTTACTGAGAAGAATGTGCCTAACTGGCATAGCCACCTGGTGCGAGTGTGTGAGAACATCCCCATCGTGTTGTGTGGCAACAAAGTGGACATCGAGGACAGGAAAGTGAAGGCAAAATCAATGGTCTTGCCGAAACCGGTTTGGCTCAGTGGATACAGCGTTGGCCTGCGGACTGAAGGGTCCCAGGTTCGATTCCGGTCAGGGGCATGTGCCTGGGTTGTGGGCACTTCCCCAGTGGGGGATGTGCGGGAGGCAGCTGATCGATGTTTCTCTCTCACCGATGTTTCTAACTCTCTATCTCTCTCCTTTCCTCTCTGTAAAAAATCAATAAAATATATTAAAAAAAAAATTAAAAAAATCAATGGTCTTCACCGAAAGGAGAATCTCTGGTACTACGACATTTCTGCCAGGAGGAACCGCAGCTTTGGAAAGCCCTTCCCCTGGCTTGCTGGAAGGCGAGGCGGAGACCCTCGCTTGGAGTTTGTTGCCGTGCCTGCTCTTGCCCCTCCAGAGGTGGTCGTGGTCCCAGCACTGGCAGCGCGGTGTGAGCACGCTCTAGAGCAGCGGTTCTCAACCTGTGGGTCGCGACCCCTTTGGGGGTCGAATGACCCTTTCACAGGGGTTGCCTAAGACCATCGGAAAACACATATATAATTACATATTGTTTTTGTGATTAATCACTATGCTTTAATTATGTTCAATTTGTAACAATGAAATTGGGGCTCACCACAACATGAGGAACTGTATTAAAGGGTCGCGGCATTAGGAAGGTTGAGAACCACTGGTCTAGAGGTTGTGTTCAGGCCACCGCCCTCCCGGACCAAGATGACGAGCTGTGAGAGGGAAGCTGGAGCCCCGCGTCAGAAGTCTAGTTTTATAGGCAACTGTCCTGTGATGCCACTTTATTATATAGCGAAGCAGAACCTGTGCTGGATCTTTGGGATGCCGAAAGAGAGGAGTGGGCTTCAGAGTGAATGTGGCAGTTACAAAATACCTTCACTTTTTGGACCTGCATGTTTAGCTATATTGGAACACAGTTGTTTTCTGATAAAAATGCTGCAGTCGAATCACAATACTCAGTGGTGAAACCTTGTTTGTTACTGTCATTCCCGTTTCTTTTTATTTAGAATCAGAATAAAGTTGTATTTCAAATACCTTTAAAAAATATATATATATATATATATATTTTCATAAACGTCTATTAGTAAAGTGGCTACATAATCTCTTATTTGGATTGGATGTCTATTCGAACATTTCTTTGAGCATTTAGTTTAAAAACATTTTTCTTTTTTTAACTTTTATTTTAAAAATAATTTTAGACTTAAAAAAGTTGCAAAAATATTTCAAAGAACTTCCACATATCATACCTTCAGCTAGTTTATGGTAGTGTCTCTCATAGTTCCCCGTTGTAAAGTTAACTTTTTCCCTCTCTATAATTAATAAGTATCTTGTGGGGAGATACTTTAAGACTGTACTATATACGATCCCATTGCTCAAAATTTTACCCACTAATTTTAGCATCCTTTGCTTTTTTTTTTTTTTTTAGCTGAATTATTACTAAAATGGTTGCTAAATGGTGACCTTTCTAATTACATTATCCCTCCTCTGTTCCTTACTTGATCTTCCACTCTGCAGGAGGGTTCTCTCCTCTCCACACGTACTACATCCTGGTTAGTGGGTTACAGTGCTCCAGATCTGAGAATTATTGCCCCTGAGCCCCTGAGCTGGCTGCTTTTCCGTTTTACGTGTCCTCACCCTGAGCATTTTCCCACTTTCAGGCACAACGGTTGGTTTTGCTATCTGGTAAAGCAAATCCTCATCTCGTTATTTTCACTTAAAGAAAAATCTTGGCTTCTCTTGGGCATGAAGTATTTGGATTAATTTTATATTTAAAAAATAGTCATGGATTTTGACTGGAGTTAGACAATTTATAGAGAACTGACCTTTCAGAAGAACTGACATATTTCCATGATTGAATCTTCTCACTTAAGGAGCCTATTTTATCTCTGTATGTATTTGTATCTTTTATGTCCTTAGGTGAAAATCTTGCCCATTCCCTCCTAAGTTTATTTTTAGATATTTTATAGATTTTGTTGCCATCATGAATGGAATTTTTCCCCTTTATATTTTCTAATTGGTTATTGCTGGTACAGTTTTTAAGAAGCTTTTGATTTAATCTAATAATCACTTACTTCCTATTAGTTATAATGCTTTTACAATCGATTCTCTTGGCTTTTCTAGGTAGACAGTTATATAACCTGCCAGTGATAACTTTTTATCACTTCATTTATAATATTTATACATAATTTCTCTTTGTATGTTATCTCATGGCTAAGATATCTGAGTGTGGGTGGGGAAGGGTGATCTTGGGAATTCTTCTTGACTGATGTTACATTTAAGGGAGTATCAGAGAATGTGCAACAGGTGAAGCAAGGTGGTGGAGAATGTATTCCAGATAGGCTCGGGGGAGAGGAACAGTATGCCAGTGTCCAGTGAGTAGATAGAATGGCTAGAGCATAGGACACAAATGAGGTTGGGAGAAGCAAGAGAGTAAATGGGGCACAGTCTGAAGCTGCTGGATTCTGAGAGCAATTACTTTATTCTAAAGGAAATGAGAATTTAATGAAAGGGATGTTAGGTAGAATGGCCCCCCAAAGATGTTCATGCCCTAATCCCCAGGATCTGTAAATATGTTACCTTACATGGCAAAAAGGACTTTGCAGATAAAATTAAGGCTATGGATCTTAAAATTGGGTCAGGGAGGAGGAAATTATCCTGGGTTATTTATTTGTTTGTTTACGGTTAATCCTCACCCAAGGATATTTTTCCATTGATTTTTTTTTTTTTTGAAAATACATTTTTATTGCTTTCAGAAAGGAAGGGAGAGGGAGAGGGAGAGAGAGAAACATCAATGATGAAAGAGAATCATTGATCGGTTGCCTCCTGTACGCCCCCTACTGGGGATCAAGCCCACAACCCAGGCATGTGCCCTTGACCAGAATCGAACTCGGGACCCTTCAGTCTGCAGACCAACACTCTATCCACTGAGCCAAACCAGCTAGGCCTCCATTGATTTTTAAAGAGAGTGGAAGGGAAGGGGAGAGACAGAGAAAGAGAACCATTGATGTGAGAGAGACACATTGACTGGTTGCCTCCCTCATGTGCCCCAACTGGGGCTGGGGATCAAGCCTGCCCAAGGCCAGGGATTGAGCCTTGACTGGAATCGAACCCTAGACCCTTCAGCCTGCATGTGCTCACATGCTCTATCCACTGAGACAAACTGGCTAGGTCCCGAATTATTTATTTAAATATTTTTATTGATTTCAGAGAGGAAGGGAGAGGGAAAGAGAGAGGGAAACATCAGTGATGAGAGAGAATCATTGATCTGCTTCCTGCACGCACCCTACTGGGGATCAAGCCCACAAGCCAGGCATGTGCCCTTGACCAGAATTGAACCCGGGACCCTTCAGTCCTCAGGCCGACACTCTAGCCACTGAGTCAAACCAGCTAGGGCATGGATTATTTATTTTTTCATTGATTTTAGAGAGAGGAAGGGAGAGAAGAAACATTGATGTGAGAAACATTGATCGGCTGCCTCCTGCATGCACCCCGACCAGGGATCGAACTGGGATTGAACCTGCAACCTAGGTATATGCCCTGAGCAGAATTGAACCCAAAACCTTTTGGTGTACGCTCCAGCCAACTGAGCCACCCCGGCCAGGGCTATCCTGGGTTATGCAAGTGGGCCCCATCTAATCACATGAGCTGGAAAAGCAAAAAAGTTTATCTGGCTGGTGGTAGAAGGGGAAGTTGGAGAGATTCAGAGTCAGAGGAACTTGACCTACCATGGCTGAGGGGGGCCACATGGAAAACATGAGAAGGAACGCAGGAGCAAAGACTGTCTGACAGCCCAGCAAGGAAACGGGACCTCTGTCCTTCAGCTGCAAGGAACTGAATTTGGCCAACAGCCTGAATGACTCTGGAAACAGATCCATCTCTTGTCTCCAGAAAGCCCTGCCGACTGCTTGGTTTTGGCCTTGTGAGACTGTGCAGAGGACCCAGCTACAAAACTCAGAGAAAATAAATTTGTGTTATTTTAAGCTGCTAAATCTGTAGTACTTTGTTACAGCAGCAGCAGAATACTAATACTGAGGGGTTTAGGTAGGGAAGTAATGTCAAATTTTGTGTTATTATCAGACAACTGCTGTGCTGTGTGGAAAATGGATTTGGGAGAATGCAAATTTGGAGGCAGGGAAACTTGTCTTTGGGAATATAGTGGTCACAAGGATGGAGGGTAGTGATGGTGGGGAGGGGGATATGATTTGATACTTATTTGGGAGGTTGGAATTACCAGAATTTGGTCATTGATTGGATGTCAGGAATGAGGGAGAGACAGGACACAGATGACTGCTGAGTGACTGGTGAAGCTGTCCTAAGACACGGATGAGCAGGTGGGAACGTGCCGTGTCATGAACTTACTGGTAATTCCAGGTTCTTCATTTGAAAATTCTTCTATAAAGACTTACTTCAAGGTAGAGTATATCAGTAAGATGATTGCTTTTTCTTTTCAGACCTCAATTGGTTTTGTTTTGTGGTTTTGTTTTTTAGGTCATGTAGGACATTGTAAATCATGTGAAGATGGGCCTCTTGGTGTTTGTGCGCAATCTGCTGCTAGCCCTCTGCCTTTTCCTGGTCCTGGGGTTTTTGTATTATTCTGCATGGAAGCTACATTTTCTCCAGTGGGAGGACTCCAGTAAGTATGGTCGCTCTAGCCTGTCCCCCGAAAAGCCTGCTGCAGATCAGCGATGGGATTTTCACGTAGCTGCAATGTTCTCAGATTCTTCAGAGATGGGCAGTGAGAGTAAACTAACCATTTCTGGGATTTAGGCTTAGAAGTTGACTACTTTTGTTACTGTAAGTTAAGAACTTACAAAAAAAACAAACAAAAACAACAACTGCATGCCATGGCAAATTCTTATATGAACCCAGTGAAAAAGTGCTATTTTTTCGATAAAAACTAGAACTGTACTAGTATTTCTAGTCCTTGGATGTTGTTCTTAATGACTTAGTGAATTGCTGCTCCCATTGGCCATTTATTGCCTTAGGGCTTGGGAGTGAAGTTGGTTTTCTTTTTCCCTTCAAACTTCATCTTTATCTTTTCCTTGGATTTTCAATTTAATATTGTCTTTGTTTTATTTTCCTAAAGAAGATCTGTCTGCTTCATCTTTGTAGCCTTTGCTGGTCCTGAACTTGTGCTGGCTTTCCAGTCAATAACTCCTAATCCCTTTCTTCCATTTGTACCTCAGGCCTCATGTGTCACCCAGCATGTTCTGTATACCTGCCTGAACCCTTCAGACTTGGTTTTCGTTCACCCAGTGTTGCCTGTGTTGTGGTTTAGGCTTGCCGTTGAAGGTTTGCACTGAGCAACACCAGCTTTGCACATTCTCTTTTTGAACACAAGTAGTTTTCCTTTTGGTTCTTTGGTCTGAAGGCTTGTTGCAGGAAATACCAGGTAATCTGTTCTGATTCTTAGTCAATGTCTCTTCTCTGAAGTAGTTTTATTTTCCCAAACATCTACCTGATAAAAGTGTAGAATTCACTTGAGAGTAGAGTTAGTCTCTCAATATGAGGTCAAAATGCTAGAATGAGTTGGAAGAGGCATCTGACAGTTGGCCTCGTGTTGAGACCTTAACACGGGAACTGTTCCTATGAAGTAGTTCACTTATTTCTCACATGGCCCAAACTACTGAAGCAGTTGCAAGCCCATTTTTAAAATAGAGTGTTATGTCTTCATTGTTTTATATGGAATGTTTAAATGCCTTTTAACTGCTTAGCTTATAATTGCCAGTAATTACTTTGTGTTTCCGGAGTTTACTTAAATTTGTGTCCCAACTTATTTTTAAAATCAAGGAGACTACCCACAATAAGGAGTGTTTATATCAGTGCAGTGCAAAAGTCTGTGGTTAGAGGCATTGTCTGTAGCCATAATGGATAAATTAATCTGTATCCATAAAATAGATGGAAACATGTGCAAGGGATGGGGGTCTCTATTTCCGATAAGAGCTACTGACCTGTAGAAGACATAATCAAGGATTAGATAGTATTATGCGGGAGAAGTTAAGAAAGATACTAACTTTATGGAAGACCTGTTGTTTGTCAGGCCTCATACATTTAATTTTATTTAATTTACTTCTTACTATAACCATATGAATATGCTATTATTATCTCTATTTTCCAGTTGAGCAACTGAAGTATTTAGTTTCATTAGTTTATCTAAGTTACACAGTTAATGGCTGTTGGAATTTGTCAAATGCTTTTTCTGCATCTATTGTTATGATCATATGTTTTTATCCTTTAATCTGTTTATGTGGTGTATCACATTGATTTGTGGCTATTGAACCAATCTTGCATCCCAGGAATAAATTTCACTTGATTATGGTATATGATCTTTCTAATGTATTGCTGAATTAAGTTTGCTGATATTTTGTTGAGTTTTGCATTTATGTTCATCAGGGATATTGGCCTATAATTTTCTTTTTTTGTAGTGTCTTTGTTTTTGTTATCAGGGTAATGCTGGCCTCATAAAATAATTTTGGTAGCCTTTTCTCGTCTTTAATATTTGGAATAGTTTGAGAAGGATAGTTTTTTTGTGTGTTGTTGTTGTTTTTTAGAGACAGTAGGAGGGAGGAAGGAACGGGAGAGAGAGACACACACACACACACATCAATTGGTTGCTTCCCACACATGCACGGATGAGCCTGCAACCAAGGTATGTGTCTTTGACCAGGAATTGAACCCAGGACCCTTCAGTCCATGGGCTGATGCTCTAACCACTGAGCAATCAAACAGGGTGAGAAGGATAGGTATTAATTTTTCATTGAACGCTTGGTAAAATTCTCTTGTGAAGCCATTTAGTCCAGGACCCTTATTTGTTGGGAGTTTTGATTACTCATTTGATCTTTTAATAATTATTGGTCTGTTCAGATATTCTGTTTCTAATTCAGTCTTGGACAATTGTACAGTCCTAGGAATTTATCCATTTCTTCCACATTGTCCGATTTGTTGTTATATAATTGTTCGTAGTATTTTTTTTTTTTTAATAATGGCTTTGTTTTCTGTGGTGTTGGCTGTCATTTCTCTTTCATTTCTGATTTTACATATTTGGGCCCTTTTTTTTCTTTTTTAAATATATTTTATTGATTTTTTACAGAGAGGAAGGTAGAGAGACAGAGAGTTAGAAACATCGATGAGAGAGAAACACCGATCAGCTGCCTCCTGCACATCTCCCACTGGGGATGTGCCCGCAACCCAGGTACATGCCCCCGACCGGAATCGAACCCGGGACCCCTCAGTCCGCAGGCCGACGCTCTATCCACCGAGCCAAACCGGTTAGGGCCCCTTTTTTTCTTGATGAGTCTGATTAAAGGTTTATCAATCTTGTTTATCTTTTAAAAGAACCAGTTATTTGTTTCATTGATCTTTTCTATTGTTTTTAAGTCTCTCCTTGGTTTTTTTTTTCACACTGTGATTTTTATTATTTCCTTCCACTTACTTTGGGTTTTGTTTGTTCTTCTTTTTCCTTTATATGTAAGGTAAGGGTTTTTTTTTGGAGATTTTTCTTGTTTCTCAGGGTGGTAGGTCTGTATTGCTATGAATTTCTCTTTTAGAACTGCTTTGGTTGTGTCCCACAGATTTTTGAGATCATGTTTTCAGTTCTGTTTGTCTCAAGGTATGTTTATTTTCCTCTTTGATCTCATTTTTATCTGTTCATTATTTAGTAGCTTGTTATTTAGCCTCCATGTGTTTTTCAATTTTCTTCTTATGGTTGATTTCTAGTATCATATCATTGTGATCAAAGAAGGTACTTGATAGATTTTAGCCTTTTTAAATTTCTTGAGACTTGTTTTGCAGCCTAACATGCAGTCTGTCCTGGAAAATGTTTCTGTGCACTTGAAAAGAAGGTATATTCTATTGCTTTTGGGTGAGATGCTCTAAAATTATCTGTTAAGTCCGTTTGATCTAATGTGTCATTTAAAACTTCTCTTTCCTTAATTTTCTCTCTGGATGATCTATCCATTGATGTCAGTGGGATGTTACTGTCAATCTCTCCCTTTGTTTGTCAGTGTTTACTTTATATACTTAACTGTTCCTACATTGAGTGCATAGTCAAAACAAATGTTTTACAACAGATTGAATTAGAAACTGGTGAAAATCCAAATTTCTTTTATTAACTTGTAAATTAAAGAGATTTGCAGAAATGTAAAATTACGCTTTCCTACTTGTTCTGTTTCAGAAAAGTTATTTTTTCTATTGTTAATTTTAAATGAATTCATACTTTTAAAATGTTTTAATATAACAAATCCTATCTAATAAAGAGGGAATATGCTAATTGTCTGCCCTGCCCTCAAAGATGGTGGCACCCACAACCAATAAGGAGGGAATATGCTAATTGACTGCCCCGCCCTAAAAGGTGGCAGTGCCACAGCCACAAGATGGCTAGCAGGGGAGGGCAGTTAGGGGTGATCAGGCCTGCAGAAGAGGGCAGTTGGGGGCAACCAGGCCGGCAGGGGAGGGCAGTTGGGGGTGACCAGGCTGGCAGGGAGGGCAGTTAGGAGTGACCGGGCCAGCAGGGGAGGGCAGTTGAGGGCAATCACGCCTGCAGGGGAGGACAGTTAGGGGCAACCAGGCCAGCAGGGGAGGGCAGTTGGGGGCGACCAGGCCTGCAGAGGAGGGCAGTTGGGGGCGACCGGGCTGGCAGGGGAGGGCAGTTGGGGTGATCGGGCCGGCAGGGGAGGGTAGTTGGGCGTGATCAGGCAGGCAGGCAGGAGAGCGGTTGGGAGCCAGCAGTCCTGGATTGTGAGAGGGATGTCCGACTCCCGGTGTAGGCCTGATCCTATAAACCAGCAGTCGGACATCCCCCGAGGGGTTCCAGATTGGAGCGGGTGCAGGCTGGGCTGAGGGACACTCCCTGCCCTCCCACCCCCCGTGCACAAATTTTGTGCACCAGGCCTCTAGTATTAATAAAATCATTCATCCACATACACAAACACTTTGGAGTCCTTAGTAAGTTTTAAGAGTGTGAAAGGGTCTAATATCAGAAATCTAAGAACCACTGTATTCTTGAGTCTTCAAAAAAGTGGAGTTCAGGGATTGGGGGACTTTCAGAAGTGAGAGTGTTTAGGGATTGGTTGACCTTTAGCTGTGGATTCCCAATTCCATGAATAAGGCTGTTGTTGAATAGGATGACTTTCAGAGCAGTGGTCACTGAAGTGAAGCTGTTGTTGATGGATTTGGTTGGGTTTTAAAGTAGTTCTGGTGGTTACTTTTTGCTATAGGAAAAAAACAATCAATGCTCTTTTTGATGGTTAGCAACCTTTTATTCTCAATGGAAAAAATGGGAAAGAATAGAAGGCATAACTCTTATAATTCAACAATAAGAAGACAATCCAATTTTTAAAATGGGCAAAGGACCTGGATAGCCATTTCTCCAACAAAGATATACAAATGGTCAATAAGCACTTGAAAAGATGTCCAACATCAATAGTCACTAGGGAAATGCAAATTTGCAATGAGATACCACTTAACACCCACTGGAATGGTTATAATAAAAATGACAGATAGTAGCAAGTGTTGGCGAGGATGTGGAGAAATTGGAGCCCTCATACCCAGATCGTGGGAATGTAAAATGGTGTAGCCATTTTGGAAAACAGTCTGGCAGTTCCTTAAAAAGTTAAATATAGAGTTACCATTTGA